AGTGCACACACAGGGTGTATATAATTTCCAGCTTGAGCCTTTAAAAGGAAGGGGCAGAGCCTCCTCTTCCCCAGCACACCTAACTAATCCACCTGTCCTGTGGGAGATGGATCAGAATTACTCTAAATCCCAAGTTTCGAAACTAGGAAAAACATATATAAAGCTCAAGAGGATAGATTTCAGATCAATATAAACAATTTCCTAATAAGCAGGATTATGTAGAAATACAGAGGGTTCTTCCAGGAGGTATTTAGTCTTTCTTAATTGTAAGTGTTTAAGCATATACTAGAGGGGAGCAATGTTATTAAGAAGATTCTAGTATAAGATACAAAGTTTGACAATATGACCTGATTGGTCCTTTTAGATTATGAGATTCTGTGCTCCTATGAGGTTGAAATTTCAAAGCATTTCTGTGTTTGGCCAAAAGAAGATGCTAGAATCTCATTACATTTTTCTGAGTCCTCATTTACTACAAATCAGTAGAAAAGTAAAATCCTAGAGTCGTCCTAGACTACTTCTTCAGTACCAAGACCCTCCCACAACCAGTTGGTCACCAGGTTCTATCAAATTTACCTACTAAATATCTGCCGAATCCATTTCCCCTTTGCTAGCCTCCCTGCCATTGTTTTTCCCCATTGCTTCATTCCAAAAATATTTCCTGAATATGACAAGTACTGTGAGGAGCACCAAGGACACAATGCTGAATGAGACTCAGTCTGTGCCTTCAAAAAAACATAGCAAACAAACAGAAAATTATAATACAGTATGCTAAATGCTATTCTGAAAATATGCTAGGCAAGTAGCACCAAACCCAGCCTTGATCAAAGAGATCAAGGAAGACTTGCTGGAAGAGGCATTACCTGAGCTGAGTCTTAAAGGGTAAATTATCTCAAACTTCACCTCCTCGGTGCAGTGTGTCCTGAACTCCACCTTCTGCACTTTCTTCTGTGTGATCATTTATCTTCCTCTCTATCAACTTTCTTAGGCCCTGAGTTGCTAGAAAGAAACAATGACTTTTATTTATTGTTATTACCCCAGCCATGACTTTGGGACTGGTGGATATTAAGCATGCAATAAATGGTTATAGAATTGATTGGTTTTCACTTTAGTTAACAGCTCTCAGCCCTAGTGAAGAACTCCATTCTTATGAATGCTCGTGATGAATAGTAATTCACAGCACAGTTCTGTATCAGTTATCAGCTTTTGAGAATTTCTGCAGCTCCTTCTGCTCAGCCTAACCAAGCTTTCACTTTTTGTTTTTACCCCTGTGTATACATCTAACCACTCCAGAAACCTCCTTAACAGAAAGGAAAGTGACTCCATAGCTCTCCTTCCCGGGAAGCTGCATCAACCATGGCTACCCAGGCAAAGACTGCTCTCCCGAAGGGCTAAAGGGAGTACAAGGGCCATACTGCCATCCCAGCACCTTGTGTCACCAGCCACAGTCCCCAGCACCATGGAATGACTGACTGGGTGAGCACGCTCTCATATCTCCGTCTCTGGAAACAATGACAGGAGCTCTGAAACCAGTTTGAAACCTGAACATCATGGCTTGACTTTTTCTAAACTGGTCTATGTGGGAAGGTTAAAAAGATCAAGTTCTAATTTCCAGTGATTTCTAAGTTGGACCAGAATGAAGTAGTGGAAATTTATTATATGCAGTGTTTCCTAATGTATGAGACACATTCCACCTGGGGTTTGCAAGATGATTCTCCATGGCACACAAATGAACACGTTTTAGTTAAGAACATATTTATTCAAGTTTAATAGCCTATTTTAAAAGTGAAATATTTATTTACAGCTATCTTTAATTTGGGACAAATAAAAAAGTATGTTGATTTAAATTCATTAAATAATAATTCATTAACTCATAATTTAATTCATTACATGAGATAGGTGCTTTCAGAGGACTCAAGTTGGGAGACACTGCTATGTTACACTCCTCAAGGTTCATGCCAACCAGTGAAAACTATGGCAGTAGGTTTACCAGAGCCAGAAGAAACCCTGGAGGCTCTCTAATCTAATTCACTATTTTATTCACTTAGTCATTCAACAAGTATTTTTCAGGCCCGTACCTGGTACGAGGATCTGCGCAGAATGGCAGTCAATCAGAGAAGAACAGTCCAGTGGGAGAAAGAGATATTAAATATTAGAGGAATTATAATTATAATAGGTTCTTTGAAGTAAAGCATGTATGAAGCCATTAATAGCAGGACAACGTTTGAACTAAATCTTAGAGGATCAGGAGAAATTAGCCAGACAAATCAGGGCTTGGGGAGCTGGATTGCAGGCAGGCGGTGGGAAGAGAAGAGAGTGTGAGAGACCCTGAGGAGGCAGTGTGGCTGGAGCAAGAGAAGACCTCAGTCCTCCACAGTGCAGACATCTGCATAGATCTCCCATGGCAGTAATTTCACTCAAGACCAATCTAGACATGGAGGTGTAGAAGGCAAAGTAACCTGACATTGGCCACACATCCTAAGATCAGCTGGGCAAAGGCATCAATCCATTGTCTCCAGGGTTTACCATGCTTATGTAGTGCCCTGCATTCAGGCCTCTCCTGGGTGCTGGGGACCCTATGGGGACAAAACAGTGAAAGTCCTGCCCCACAGAGTCTATATTCTGATAGAGTGGAGACAGTCAATCAACAAACAAGTCAATACAAGCATACCAGTGGCATTAAGTGGTTTAGAGAAAAGTGATGAAGGATGATGGGTTGGCTTGGGAGGGGGGTTGTTTTATATGGGCGATCGCCTGTGATGTGGAAAGAAACCTGAAGGAAATTGGAACAAGTCAGGTCTGTTCACTTCACTGAGGGCTCTTTCTACCATTTTGGTGCCCAGGCTCTTTCTGCTCTGCCCTGTGCTCACAGCAGTTTCAGTTTCTGTAGCTCAAATCAAGTGTTGACAGACAAAACATTTTAATAGGAAATGTAGTCTCCTAGGTATGATGCAGGAGGGATCTATCAGAAGGAATCTCCCTCTACAAAAGCTAAATGGCTTTGGGTTTATAGAACATTGCATGGGCATTTTAGGGGGTATGGTCATTTCCCAAATGTAAGCATCCCTGGTTCTGAAAATATCCAAAATGGATCCTGTAAATCAGAGGGGAAGCTTCACCCTTAGCCCACAGTGACCCCACCAAAAGCAGTATCTTCCCTGTGCCCAAAACACAGCTGTTCTCTGCTTAGCTACCTTTTCAACATACCAGCCTTTATTCAAACCCACCAAAAAAAACATGCTCTCTCCTTAAACATTTCAAAAAAAATTTGTTTGTGAATAGGCACCAGTCCATGAATATTGATTTTTTACTTGGTGATAACTTTTAAGTTCTTATGGTCCTTCCTACTGAGTTTAGCAGCCTTTGGGCTATTCTGGGCAAACCAAAGAAGTATTTGCCATGGCTACTCTGCTGTCTGGAAGCTCTAAGGAATGGTGCAGTTTATGAATGGTGTGTAATCAAGGCTGGAGACTCTGGGCTCTGTGGAAGCTCAGCACAGTCAGATTCAGGACCTCCTGCACCTTGAAAATACCAAGTGCCCTCAGAAGAGGGCAAGGTGGGCCGTGGGTGCAATGTCCCCTTTTAGGTTCACGGCAAAGCCAAGGGGTAGATTCCTGAACCTTGGATCCCAGCTCTTCCAAATGCTCCTCAGGAAAGGAGGCTGCCCCATTCCTGATGGCCTAGGAGGCTGTACAGGAAGCCCTAGTTCAACAGCATGAGATGAAGGGAGTCTGCCAGTCTCCCCCTGGCCAAGGTGCCCTCTAGCTCACCACACCTTTCCCTTCATGAAGATTTGTCTAATAACAAGGGCCCCAATAGAGATAAGACATGGGACCCCAGGGTCTTGATGGGAAAGGCAGAAAGGATGAGGGGCAGGGAATGCAGAGGTAATCTGGGATCTGGAAGAAAGCAAGAGAGGGTAGTCTCTGGTCAATAGGATAATGACTGTATGATTAAAAAGAAGAACAGAATGATGGGAAAATAATGACAAGAAGAGATGTCAAGGACAAAATCCATAAAAGCCCTGGGGAAGTCCTTCCTGTTAATATCACAAAACATCAAGTCAGTGTTTCTTTGTGTAGCAGGGGCACCATGAATACACTGGAGAATTGCCCATCACACAGGTTGCTGTCCAAAGCAGCCCAGGCCTAGAGCCTCAAAGCAGAGTCCCTTTAATGCAAAACAATGGTCAGGCCACATTACTTATTTAACTGAAGGCTAGCTGTGCAAGTAAAATTTTAGATGGTATGAAAAGTTTCCTGTGGTGGAGGCTGTGGGGCATTTAGACTTTTATTTGGCCTCTAATCTTCCTAATTGTATGGCACCCGGAAGGAGCATTATCAAGCTTCAACATCATTTCAGCTGGGTTATTTGTGGTCTTTGCGGCTTGGTTATCTGTCAAAGGCACTCCTGGTACACCCTTCCAAGCAGTTAGTGTGTATGTGTGTGTCCTGTTTGATCTGATCTGACTGCTACCCATTGAACTCAGTGAAATTTTAGCATGCTGTCACAGAAAGGGCATGCGGGGGAAAGAAACACAGTTTATTTAAAAATTTAATTAAAATCAAAATTCACCCTGAGCATAATTCATAACCATCAAACCCTTAAGTAGACAATAATCATGTACACAGCATCTACTTAAGTCTCAATAACATTATATTATATCCCAGAAATCTGTCATTTTCCCTACACAAATATTACGTAAGTTGATTTTGGTTATACACCTTTACATTAAAATTATACAATGTACTCAGGAATAACAAAACATGGTCAAGATGAAAGCATTTTTTGAAAATACAGAAAAACGTACATATCAGTAACAATTTACTTAACTCCAAAACTTTCTTACATTAAATTCCTCTAGTCTGTTTGAATCATTTAACTTGCTATCAGTACTCTCTGTACAAAACTTTTAAAAAGAAATACTCTGTTACAAACTTATTTCTGGTTGTTCTCATTATTTTTCAAAATAACCATCAAATCAATACACTTAGCTTCTTGCATTACTTAACACTCTCCAGGAATTGTTTAATCCAGGAAAGAAGAATTCCCAGTTCACTGATGGCTTTGTAGATTCCTTTGTTTCCAGTCTGCAGGTAGGGATATAAAAGCAAAAATCTTTCATATTTTAAAAAACCAAGTATTCAAAAACAAGGATTTGGAATACTTACCCCATAAAATGTTCTCTTCATCCTGGTAATGGATTTCATCTCTCTAGCTGAGGAAGCACAGGAAATCTAATAAATCAACAGATAATATTGTTGAAGAGACACTAATAATACTCTGCCATCTGTTCAACAAACATTGAGCAGATACAATGTGCTGGGTATGGATAGTCACTGACAAGAGATACATGGTCTCTGTTCTAGCAGGGCTTAGTTTCATGGGGGAGACAGATGATAAATAAGAAAACAAAAATAAAAATAAAAATTCACAAATTATAATTAAAGCTGTGTTTGTAATGCACAAGACTCTATGATGGAGATTTACAGTAATAACCTACTTTCATTGAATGGTCAGGGAGAGCTTTTTTGAAGGCCGACACTTAAATTAAGATCTGACAAACAAGAAGGTTTAATGGAAAAGTGAAGAAAGGAAATAGGGGGTTGGGGAGGATATACAGGAAAGAATAGCTCAGGCAGAGGGAAAGATGTGCAAAGGCCCTGAGGCAGGAAAAACTTAGTGATTTCCTGAAACTGAAAGAAAGAAACATGGCTGGAGCAATTGAGCAAGAAAAATGGGGCATGCATGAGACATGTGGCAACAACAAGAAAAATTTTACTTTCTGAAAAATCACCCATTATGTACACTGCACAGTACAATATGCAGGTATCATTTGCCAGGAGAAAGCACCAGGAAATTAGTATTCATTTCTAAATTAGAAAGAGCAGGCTGGTGTCTTCAGAAGATAGTCTGTAGCCTGGCCAGGGGAAATGACCAGTATCCTTTGAGTAAGTGAATTTTCAAGCCCTATCTGAGCACAGGAATCACTTGGGAGTGAAGTAGGAGGAAATTACCATCATCATTCTATTCTCCAGCAAATTTCTGTAGGGTTAATTAGAGAAAAGGGATGAAAAGGGAGAAATGTCATCTACTTAGGTTTTACTTATAAAACCTTAGTGCTGGAGTAGGGCAAAGAAATTGGATAGGACAATTCTTCTCAATTTACAGAAAAGGAAACCAAGCCCAAGTGGTTAAGTCACTTGTCTCAGGGGTCACGGGAAGTCCTGTCCAAAGGGATAAAAGAGAGTCACAGGCACATCATAAAGATAACAATTAAAAGTCATGAAACAAAAGCGGCTAACAGAGAACATCTATTAAAACAAAGAAAACATGGCTAATATCAACCAACAGATCCCTTTAGGTGAGAAACAAAGAGAAGTGGGAGGAAGGGGCAGGATTAGGGCTCCTTTCTTATCAAGAGAAAAAAATGGGAAGATTGAAGAGAGTTACTCCCTTAGCGCTGTTGCAAAGGCTTAAGGCGGTGAGGGTGTAAGGCGGTGAGGGTGTCAAGACTCTGCCCAAATGGGGGCTCTCCCTTCAGGTCAGACTCTAAGTGAGAAGGAATATCCTCCTCGCCAAGGGGCTTCATGCAAGATTAGGCAGAGGAGAGCTGCAGACACAGAATGTTCCTGTTAAGGAGCAGTTTTGGGGATTCACAAGCATTGGGTTGGACCTCCTGTGGTAAAAACCCTGAATCAAGAGAACATTTCAACCCAGATCCTACGAGGCCGAAACAATGCATGACAGACCCAGGGCAGTGGTGGCTAATGTCAGAGGAGACAATCAGAAAAAAAAATTTGTTCATTCATGAAGTGCCTCCTATGTGTCAAGCCATCTGCTAGGCACTAGACATAATGATGAACAAAACAGAGTTAGTAAATAAAGTATCTGTAGGAAAATCAATAAAATACAGCATCAATATCAGAAGGTAAAAATTCAACAGTTCTAGGAGCTCTCTTTAACCCAAGTCTCCTTCAAGTAAAGACAAAAATACTGAGAAGATTGTTAGGTAAAAATAACAATAGTCAAAATGTATAATGTTAGTATCATGTATCAGACACCAATCTGAAGGCTCTAGTTACATTAACTCATTCAGTTTTTGCAATCCTATGAGGTAGATACCATTACCCCTCATTTTACAGATCAGGAAACCGAAGCATAGTAGTTAATACTCTGCTCATGTTCACACTGTTATTAGGTGGAAAAGCTGAGATCTGAATGAACCCAAGTATTCTGATTCCTGAGTATTTAAAGCCACTTAGTATACTAACAAAACAAAAGCCTAACTTGAGATATTCTCTTGTTGAAAACATTCAAAATGAGGGATTAGCTCCAAATGGAAAAATGTTGGAAATGGCTTTAAAAGACTAAATTGATTAACAGAGATAAAGACAAGGAAAAAGAAGATTTCAACCTGAAAATGGACATCACAACAAACAAAAAAAGAAACCTTGTGTGTGTGTGTGTGTGTGTGTGTGTGTGTGTGTGTGTGTGTGTGTGTGTTTTCTTTGTTCATTTGTTTTTTCCGATTGGAAATTCAAAAGGAAATTTTAGAAATACCAAGTCTAGTTCCAGCCAAGATTGTAGATATGGGAAGAATTTAGAGAAGTCTGCTGTTCATAATTTTATAAATGGAGAGTATTTTGTATTTATTTTATTTAGTTTGGAAGTTAAATCCTGCTAGCCTGAAAATAACATAGAAGTAGTTGGCTCAACTCTTGCAATCAGGAAAAAAAGGGGCCTTGATAAAGAGAATCAACACTTGCCTAATTCCAAGGCACTATATCAACGTTCTTAGATGCCAAGCTCAATTGCAGAACACAGAAAAGGCAACTCACATGGCACAATGTCAAACATGCAAGTGTTAGGATTTAGAGATTTAATATTGAAAGTGGGAGACCAAAGAATCCAACCAAATTCTGGACATTAGAGAAGTGTAGTGTCAGGAAGGCATTCCTGTTGGCGATGTGCTCTGCCCAGAGGACTTGCTCTGCAGGACATCCCACAGCAGGGTGGGAAGGACAAGAAAGGCTGCTGACTTCACTCCACCTACAGCACATGCTACCCTAAGAAGAGTGAGAATAGAAAAGGAGAAAAACAAGGTTCAGTCAAAAACAAAACAAAGCAAACTTAATAGGTACAGGGTTGCCACTAGAGCTATGCTGGTTTATAGGATGCTTCTGGTGCCTTGAGCTCCATTTACTATAAACGACTCAGGTAAAGATGTGGGGCAGAAGGTTCTCATTTTCCTCAGTGTCATAAATATGTCTACAGAGCCAGTAGGACAGCCAAATTTTACTACCATAATTTTGATTGCTTTGCTTGGAAGGAGAAATTTATTAAAGAGTGATTTCCTTACCTCATATTTCAGTGTAGAGTTGCATTTGCTGCAAACAGAATGCCTAATAAAGGGTCAACAGTTTTATTGTAAGAATGGCTGAATGGCTTGACAAACTCATGCAGAGCAAATAGGATCTAGACTAGAGGCAACTTATTGGTAGTACTACAGTAACTGGGGACAAGCACAAAGAAAAGCATGAGAGTTATAGAATAACACAAGGCAAACAGCCTAATCAATCATCATTAAGTCAACATTTTTATTGCATACTTACTAAATGATAGGCATGCAATAATGTCTCTGCATTCAAAGAATTGACTTAGTTAGTTTATTAGAGTACCCTACATAATGACAACAGCCTTGAGCATAAGTGATGGCTGACAATCTACTCAGACAGACAGTAATGCAAAATTACGACACTATGTGATAAATACGATGATAAAAAATATATATATATAACTGCTCTGGGAGGCAGAGCAGAGGCAATCTGATTATGGGATCATAGAAGGATTCCAGAGTGAGTTGCATTTTGAAAGGTATGTGAGATAGGGTGGAAGGAGCAGGGAGAAGGGAGGAGTAGGGAGAGGAAGCACGGTGTTCTCGGGCTGGAGAGACCAGAGATGATTTGAATACCCTTGCAGTCTGAACTGAAATTCTCAGACTCATTGTCTATGGAACGGCCCCTAGCCTCCAGCCCCACTGCAGCACATCCTTCCATTTGTTCCCTTCACAGCACCTATGACCATCGGAGACTAGCTGAAACTGGCTGAAAGCATTTCCAAGGAGTTCTGTTAAGGACAGAGATATTTTATGTCAATTTTTATTGTATATCCAGCACCTAGAATAGCATTCAGCAAATACTAGATACTCAATAAATTCATTCATTGGTTGAATGAAAGAACCAATGAATGAATTGCAAACATCAGTTTACAGCCTTGGGGTCCACAAAGCCTACTTACTGGTTTAATAAGTTTAAAGCATGTCCAGAGCATTAGTGAGCCTTACAGCTTGTTAAAAACAATGGGATGAATAAGTAATAATGAATTAGTTTGTGTGCCCCAAGTTTTCAAGTGTTTGCAAAGTCATCCAAATGTGTACCTGTGTATGGCAGCAGAAGCAGAAATGGAAAATCCCTCTCCACAGATAATTCTGAGAAAACGAAATATGTGGGTCATGAGTGGAACAGCTTGTAGTCTCTCAGGGAATTCACTGCTTATACTATATTCTAAGAACCACCTAAATCCTTTCTCCAAAAAGCTTCATTCTATTATATCCTGTTATAAACATATGCAGTATTCCCACAACCATTGGCTGAGTATAAAATCATACATACATTCTTCTATATTTTATTTACCTCAGTATACAACTTCAGACCACATTATAGCTATCTTTTTTTGTTTTCCTTTTTTTTTTTTTTTTTGGTTTGGGGTTTTCTGTTCTTTTCTTTCAGTTGACCTTAATGGTTTAAATAGTTCCTCTGGCTATGGCCTTGGTTTCCTGAAACTTCCTTTCCCCGGACAGGCAAATGATAGGTAAGGGATTAAAGATTAAATTAACTTAATTCTATTGTATAACAGCATATACAGAGTATAAGTGAATCTCATTAGTCAGCTTTTCACAGCTTTTCATGGGAGGCTTACAATTACCTGAGGTGCCCTGAAAATAATGGTAAAGAAAAGTTTATCAGTGTAGCCTGTTACAAAAGTAAATTTTTAAGTATTAAATACCAGTTTGGCAAAAGTCTGGGCACTAGGAACCAAGACCAAACTACTGAGACCAGAAAGGTTTATAGGAAACTTAGAAAGAAAATTTTTAAGTTAGTGCTACTAGAAGAAAGCATGACTATACAGCATGACTATATTTGCAACCAAGGATGTTGCATGGAAGAAAAAGAGA